AGTATTAAAAGAAGATGGAAGGAATATACTGAGTCTTTGAACTACCTTTTGATAATTTCCCTTGCTGAAAATCAGCTGTAAGGAGCTAAGAGGCAATAAAACTCTGATACTTTCATAGCTGATCTTTGAGCACAAGTCAGCCCATTACTATCAAATTGGTACTGACTTCCATTGGATTTTTAGCAACTGTAAATTTCATGTGAGGAGATTGCTCCTTTTTGTGCTACTAGGTAGAATAGGAAGAGTTCAGAGAGACTGGTAAAAGGTTAGTTACATAGCTATCTATCTACTCATCCATGTTTTTCTTTCATTCAGTAGAAACTCCTGCTTAGTATTTGACATGACTTCTTTATCCCTTCATACCCAGTTGCCTGAGGATAGATGTGTTGCTGTGGGATAGTCTGCAGTCAGGGCCCTTCCAAATTACTGAGAAGCAGTAATGACAGTTTGAGGACTGAAATGCCTCTGAGTCAGGCTATGGTCTTTCTGATCACTTGCTATGCATCTAAGAGCTGGACAGTAAATAAGGATGACTGAGGAAGAATTGAAGCCTTTGACTTCTGGTATTGGAGAAGAGCACTGAATATCCTGTGGGCCGCCAAAAAAGAAAGAATAGCCAGCATGCTTCTTGAAGACAAAGATGACAAAACTTTCTCTCATATACTTGGGGCATGTTGATAGGAGAGGATTTTCCTTAGAGAGGGATATCATGCTTGTAAAGGTGGAGGGTTGGCGAGAGGAAGAGCATCCACCAGATGGATTGACCATATTGACCCATTAACTACAGCAGTAGGCACAAGTGTGTCAGAAATTATGAGGATGGCACACAATAGGACAGGGTTCGGATCTTTGTATATAGAGTTGCTTTAGATCGTACTTGACAGCATCTGGTAACAGCAGTCGTACCCAGTTTACCAAATCTCAAGCTGATTTATTATTCCAGTCATATACTTGCTGAAAAATGTAATTCCATTGTGTGCTCAGTGACTTTACATCTAATTTTGTTAATAGTAGAAGAATACTCTTAACAAACCATGCATAAAAATGAGGTGGTGGTGGTTAGGTGTCTGAGTCACCTGCTGTTCATAGCGACCCTGTGGACAACAGAAACATGCCCTGTCCTACACCATTCTCATGATCTCTTCATGCTTGAGCCCATTATTTCAATCACTAGATTAGTCTGTCCTATTTAAAAAAAAATTATTGGTATTCATGTGCATTGTGTTAGACTGGTGTATATTGTGTTTTATACAATCATTCATATTCATTGTTGGTTTATAAAATTAATTACTAGTGGTCTATGCCTATTACTAACCCATCTTTTTGAGTTCCCATTGAGTCTTTTCTGTTCCTTTACCTCCCATCCATCCACATTTCAGTCCATCTTGTTTAGCATCTTTGCTTCTCTGACCCTTTATCTTTCTCAGCATGATGTGTTTTTCCAAGGATTTTCCCCTCCTGACAACATTTCCAAAGTATGCGAGAAGAATCAGGTGGAGCCTTTCATAATATCATAACTTATTTTATGTCATGAAATGAGACAACTTCATAGATTTCTTAATCTTTAAAATAGCCTTTGGATCATTTTTCTTTTAAGAGCTGACAGGGGCACTGAAGAAGAGTTCACGTGAAACATCTGATCTGAAATTTCTAAATAACCAGTATATTCATAAACTGAAACTTGTGGAGAAAGAGAGCAGAGCTAAGAATGACAAAATACAGCTACTTCAAGAAAAGAATTTGCAGGCAGTAGTACAAACTCCAGGTGAGTTTTGTTTGGGTTGGTTTGTTTTTGGGTTGTTGTTTTTTTTAAAGCAGGAGTGGCATCCACTTCCTAAGCAACATGCTTCTGGAAACTCTGAACTTTGAGAAATGATGAATAGTTGTAGAAAGACTTCATATCTTTTGTTCATAGGGTTGCTATGAGTCATGCTCAACTCGATGGCAATCAACAACAACAATTTACAGATTTAGTCTTTTAAAATTAGTGACTAAAATAGGATTTAGGAGTTTCATGTTTAGAGTTTAGTGTTTGAAAAGATAAACATCTGATATATAAACATAATTTGAGTATCTAGATAGTATTTTGTATAATGCATCTAGAAAAATGTGTAACAATAATAATAGCTTCTTAGATATAAATGGTCTAATTGTAATTCCACAATTTAGTTTCTCTAATTTGTATACTTCCTTTTCCTTCTTTATTATAAAAATTGGGAGACAGCAGCATGTACAATTTATTTTTTTCGTTTTGTGCCAGAATTTCTAGAAGAATAGAAATGCTAGATTATATCCTGATGGTGACTGTCTGGGCATATATTGTTAGAAGAATGTCTACAGTACTAGTTATAGTATCATTGAAATGTCTAAACCATGGAGTCAAGATTAAGGAAGTGAAGTGTAGGAGACTTCTAATTTATAAAACTATAGAGATTGAGGGAATGGTTGGTAGCAGAAGTAATTTGGTTGGAATGAAGATTGTAGACAGAATGGATGTGAAGATCTAGAATCTGGCAAAATTCTGAGTGATGACAAAGCCCAAGGCATAGTTAGTATGATGCACCTCAGACTGAGTGGAGAGGGTACTCAGAAGAGTTAGGAATGGGGAGCTGTAAGGCCAGGATGTGAGAGGAAGCATTAGCATTTGAATTGAGTGGAAATGAAATGGAGAGGGAGGTTGTGCATCAGAGGTGAATAAAATGGAGAAAAGCCTTAAGAGTAACTAGAAGAAAATGAAAAAGAAAGTAATCAGGCTTCCTGAGGAAAGAATGGGCTATATCCAACAGATTAAGGAGATGCAGTCAGTAGATTTTCATGACTGAGGGTGGTGTGTTTGGGATGTAGAGAACTCCCAGATTTCTGTGTTGAATAAATGTGTGGCTAGGTGGTGATACTGTTTATTGCCATAGAGAATGTGGGCAACAGAGGAGGAGTCCATTTTTTTTATATGTTGAGTATACTGTGGGACATTTGCCTTGCAGTATGTGTTCTGGTAAGCAGTGGAATGTATGTATAGCTGTTCTCACAAGTGTAGTACCAGATGGAGATTCAGATTTGGGACTGAGCGGTCATGGTGTCATAGGAATTTTTAGTGAGTTTATGTGGAGCAGGAAGAGAGCAAACTCAAAGACAGAATCTTGGAAATTGTCCTTTTAGAGACCAGTGGAAGAAGAGGGTCTCTGATGGATACTGAGGAGGAACAGCCAAGGAAGAAAACCAGGAGGTAGGGGAAGAAATATCACTGTTGGGCCAGTTGGTAGCATCATGATAGATGAAGAAGAGTTTGAGATTATTAATAGCTTCAGCTTGCTCATCTCCACAGTCAACACTCTTGGTACCACTAGCCAGGAAACTAAAAGATGAATTTCACTGAGAAAGTCTCTTTTCAGGGACCTCTCCAGAGTACTGAAGAGAAATGATGTCAGTTTAGAGACTAAGGTACACCTGATCCAAGCCATGGGCTTCACAGTTACTTGCTATGAATTGAGAGCTGGACAGTGAATAAGGGTGCTAGAACAAGAATGGATGCCTTAGAGTTGTGGTGTGGGAGAAAAATATTGAACATACTATGGACTGCATAGAGAACAAACAGATCTGTCCTGGAGAGGGTGATGCCAGGCTGCTCCTTAGAAGCAAGGATTTTCAAGCTGTTTCTCACAAACTTTGGACATGTGGCCATGAAGGACCAGTCCTTGGAGAAGGACATCATGCTTGGAAAGGTGGTGGGACAGCACAGGAGAGGAATACCCCAGGTGAGATGAATTGACATAATAACTGGGGTGATGAGGGTAGGAGTGTCAGACACAGTGAGATTTGCTCAGGATAGAGCAGAGTTCAGAGCTATTGTGCACAGGGTCACTGTGAGTCACAAGCAACTCGATGGCATATAACAAGAGGGGAAGGGAAAAAAATCCTCAAGAAGGAAAGATTACTTTGTTTAGATAGGTGTCTACCTATAGACAGGTCATTTGAGCACTTTTGACACAGTTTCTTCATACTGAAAAAACAGATTTAAAAGTATTTAAAATTTATTAGGATTCTGAGGAAGACAGAGTTGTAGATTATGTTGTTCATGAGACTTCTAGTTTTTCAAGTATAATCACTAGATGCTTAAAAAGGCAAGTTTTCTGTTTGATTTGGACTAACACTAAATATTCATTTAAATATATTTTTTTAAAAATTACTCTTGTAAAAAAATTACTTTTGTTAACTTTGAAAGGTAAGACAACATTCCCTAATGATTAAGATTATGAGATCATTTTATATTACTTGTGACCTTCCATTTTATACACATACAACTGAAATATCACCAGTAATATAAAATCATTTCATAATCTTACATACATATTTATAGAAATATATTTAATACTTAAAATTTCTATTATCTGCACTTTGACGCTCTTTAGTAAGTTGTTTATTTCAGTTCTTACACTATTAAGCTCTGCATTTGACACTTTTCTGTCAGTGATGATTCATTGAGCTCACAATAGAGTGCACCACAGGCCACTCAGCTTTTAATCTTCCTAATGTCTAGGTCCCATCTAGTAGAGAAACATCATGAATCCTGCCATCAAGCCAAGCATCTTGGCAAACAAACTTGTTGTCCAACCATGCATTGTTTAGTTAAAAATGAAGGTGGGTATTCACATAGGAGAGAGAAAATACTTTATCAGCATATAATGTGAGCTAGAGACATACTTTATAAAAAAAAAGACTAACCTGTTTTAATTTTAAAATGATGCTTTATTCTTTCTTTTTTTTAATAAATATATTTGTTTCTTTAGGTGGCAAGAAAAGAAGTATTGCATTCAGGCGCCAACGTATGCAAATTGACGAACCAGTCCCTCCTTCTGAAGTCAGCTCATATCCAGTGCCTCAACCAGATGACCCTTATATTGCAGACCTCTTACAAGTGGCAGATAACAGGTACCTGAGACAGTTTTCTGTTAGCTTTAGGTAACGGACTCCTGGATCAGCTGTAAGCTGCAGGATTGGCAGGGATTTTTGTCTTATCTATTGTATTTTCAATGCCTACCAGAGAAGCCATCCCTCAGTAAGTACTTTCTGAAGGATACTGAATCTTTTTTACATACTCTGAAACTTCTATTTCAAGTAAGTTCTATACCTCTTGTTTTTGTTCTTTCTTTTTTTAAAGTGATATAGTTCCTCTAAGAATCTGTTTCCAAAGAGTTGCCTTGTTTTAAAGTAATATTTTATTGTGTTTTTATAAAGGTTACAGAACAAATTAGACTCCCATTTGACAGTTTGTAAACAAATTATTCTGTGACGTTCTAGTTTTCACAGCATGTCATTGCTCTCTTTAATTGTCTTCTGGTTGTTTTAGAGTTACCCTTAGTTTCGTTATCAAGTTAGAATTATCTTTTAGGAGAACTCTGTTACTTCAGATTGTGTCAAATGACAGTTGGACATGAATAGATTATAGACTTAGAACTGACTTTCAAAGTCTTATTTAATGATTTGTGTTTATATATCCATAGTGTAAGAGTCCATTTAATTAAAAAAGAGTATTAAGACGTTTTAAGACTTGGAAAGCCACTCTCTTCCTGTCCAATTGTCATATGATACAACACTGAAGTAAAAAGGTTCTTCTAGGAGAGAGCTTTTACTTGGTGATAGAACTTAACCTTTCAGAGTAACTCTGCAACAACCAGAACACAATTAAAGGTTCAGAGCCACCAGTGACTATCGCTCATGTGATTTATAGCCTCTGAAAACCCAGTGTAGGGTCAGCTATGGGTTGATTATTACTACTTGATGGCAGTAACAGAGAAGCTGCTGTAGGCCAGATACTGTATAAGTACTTGAGGATGTCCAGCTGAATATGATGGTGTGGCTGCTTTTGAGAAGCTTTCAGTCCAATAGTGAAGATGATACAAAAGAAGTATACAGAATGACACAAAATTGTACGGTGTTCACATGCTCAAAGCAACACAGTAGCATGTGTGAGCTTCTGGTCAAGCTGGAGAAGCATTTCAGAATGTGAAGTATACTGTTGGAAGTAGTTAATACACAACTATTTAAATAAAATCTGAAAAACGAGTTGATGCTATTAATTAGGACCCCTTAACTTACTTGGTTATTCTCCCATGATTTTTTTTCCCCCTGAACAATGAGTTGTGAGTTTGTCACTCGGGGTGGCCTACATGTTGCTGTGAGACAGGAAGCTGTGCCTTTGGTATTTGTAATACAAGCAGGGTAATCCAATGGTGGATAACTTCCAGACTGTGACAAATTAGGAGGGAGGACTTGGTGATCTGCTTCTGAAAAAATTAGCTAGTGAGAACTTTGTGAACAGCTATAAAACACTCGTAATGTCAGAAGGGAACGAAGAGCTGCCTCTTCAAAGTGCTTGCTACTATTGTCAGGTGCCAACAAGTTGACTTTGCCTCATAGGAACTTTGCGTACAACAGAATGGAACACTGCCAGCTCCTGGCCGTCCTTACAATCGCTGTGTTGAGAGGCTTCTCATTTAGAGTCCTTTCCTTTTTTTACTGACCCTCTGCTTTACTAAGCGTTGTGTCTATCTCCAGGGACTGGCCTCCCCTGATAATATGCTGAAAATATACCAGATCCCATATGAGGTAAAGTTTGACCATCTTTGTTTCTAAGGAGCATCCTGGCTTACCTTCAGATGTTGTGATTCTTTGGAAAGGCCTTACTTGGTATGTTCAGTATTCTTTACCAAGTGCACCAGCTCTTCTTAATTTTTCCTTATTCATTGTCCAGCTATCACATGCATATGGAGTGACCATTGCATGGATCAGTCACAACATAGTGCCTGAGTCACTTGTTAGCTCTTTAGCACTTCAACGTGTTTTTGGCAGATATGTCCACATACGTCCTTTGATTGCTGGACTGCTGCTTTCATGATAGAGTCAACCTTACTGCTGTGGATGAAAGAGAGCTTCTGATGTCTTCATTTGCTCCTGTGTTACAGCACAAAATGAGAAGAAACATCCATTAATAATCAGAACTTGAAATATGTGAAGAATGAATCTAGAAAAATTTACATGTCATAAAAAGTGAAATGCATAAGAATTGATATACTATACAAAAGTGAACTGGAATGGACTGCTATTGGCCATTTTGAATCGGTCATATTATCTACTCCCCCAGAAATTATGGATTTCTGAGAGTTCTTTTCTCAGAAAGAACTTTTTAACATCTGTCTTGAAGCCTAAGGCTACTGACGGTAGGATAGTCTGTCTAGCATACTTACTGTACATCTGGACAGAAGACCAGTTAATAGGACTATTATTCAGATTTGCACACCAGCTACTAATGCCAAAGGTGAAAACTTATTTTTTGTCAGTTTATACAGTCTGAAAAGAAACATGCACACAGGATTTATTAATAGTTACTGGTGACTGGAATATAAAAGTTGAAAACAAAGTAAGAGGATCAGTTGTTGTTGGGTGCCATTGAGGGGAATACAATTGATAGCGAATCTTTGAACAACTGATAGGAAGCTTGCCCTATCTTGTTCTATCTTCTAGATAGCTGCCATGCTTCAGCCTGTTTTTTATTTCAGTCACTGTGTCAGTCCATCTCATTGACGGTCTTAACCTTTTCAGCTGACCTTCTGCTTTTTCCAGCATAATGTCTCTTTTTCGAAGGACTGATCCCTCCTGATAATATAACAGAAAATGAAATTTTGCCATCCTTGCCTCTAAGGATGCAAATGTTGCAAGAACAACTCTGGTTGCACTTCTTCTGAGACAAATTTGTTCATTCTTTGACATTCCATGGGATATTCAGTACTCTTCTCAGTCACCACAGTTCAAAGGCATCACTTCTTCTCTGCTCTTATTCATTATCCACCTTTCACCGGCCTGTGAAGCAAGTAAAAATATGGCTTAGCTCGGGCACACTTTAGTCTTTAAATGCATCCTTTCTCTTTAGCACTTTAAAGAGGTTCTTAACAGCAGATTTGCTTAATACAACCCATTTTTTTAATTTCTTTGGTGTTGATTATAGTTCCAAGTAGAGTAAAACCATGACAGCTTCATTCTTGATCGGCCGTGATGTTGCCTATTGATCTACCACTCGACCATCAATTTGTCCTACTAGGGAAGCTTGTATGTTGCTCTGATGTCAGAAGTTAGGCCACCAGTATCTCAAATAGTATGAGGGTCACCCATTGTGGACAGACTTCAGCAGAGCTTCCAGATGAAGACAAACTTAAGAAGCAGGACTGGCCATCCAGTTCTGAAGTAATGGCCCCAAAAACTCTGTGGATAACAGAAAAGAATCAGTAATTAGAATAAAAATAAAATAATAATTAAATTAATTAAATAATTAAAATATATAATTAAATATGAACTGAACTGTATCCCTCCAAAGTATCTATTGTAAAGCCTAAACTTTTAATGTCTTTAGTTGCAGACTAATTTGGTAATAGGTTGGAGATGTAGGGTTTATCTTAATTGAATCTCTGTTGAGATATAAAAGAGACTCAAAACAAGCTATCAAGCAGAGATGAGGGAAGAGAGATGCCAGGCCATATGAAGATTGTCTGCAGCAGAAGCTGAGGGAGAGAAGACTTTGCTTTAAAGTTGATGAACCTTCCCCTAGAGCCAGTACCCAAAGTTTGGTTTTGAGCCACCTAAACTGTGAGAAAATAATTGAAGCCACTCAGCTGTGTTGCCACAACACCAGATAAGTAAAACACTAGCTATTTTGTCATATAATATATCTGAGTTTCAAGTGGTTTACATTTTCAGTACTTTATTCTTCTAAAAATTCACTGTCCTAGGAATGATAATGGGATCTCTAATGGCCTCATCCATAGGAAGTTGTATTATGAACTCTGTGCCAAAGCCTGAGCAACTCTGACAGTTTCAGGGAGAAAGGTGGGCAATCTCCAGGCAATTTAGAGCTTCAGAAACCAAAGGGATGATCAAGTATGAGTCAGTTCTGTCTATGTGGCAATGAATTTTAATTGTGTTGTTGGTTTGGGGTTTGGTTTTTTTTTAAGACATAAGCTATTTAAAATAGTGACTTTGGAAAATTTTGACATAGCACGTACTGCATTGAGAAGCAGAAAGTGAAAAATGCATCTAGTTTCATTTCTTTTTTTATTTCTTAACTAGACCATATTCATATTAGTTATAATTATGTTTCAGAATTCAAGAACTTCAAGAGGAAGTCTGTGCATTACAAGAAAAGTTAACTGCAATGGAAAATGGAGTGAGAGATTATAACAAGCAGGTAAGATTTTTATTTCCTTGCATAGTAGACATTGAGATAGATGTGTATGGTTATAAATATCCAGATGTATTGGGTTACATTTGCTATTAACTATCCTAGTTTTAATACAGTTTTCATATTTTTCTTAAGTTTGTTAGTAGAGCTAATAGTGAAGTGGCTTAGATAGCATTAAATTGCTCTAAACTATTCTCTCATCTTGTGCCGTAGTTTTGTTTTCTGTTTTTCCTTAGGTAAATAATGTATTCCCCTGAGTGTGCAACTTATGATAGCAATATTGCTGTGTGTGTGCCTTGGGAGTGTTTATTGAAATATTCTATGTGTTATAGTAGTAGTATTTACAATTTTTTACTCATATACTACCCTGGTGATTTTGTAATTTTGAGAATTTCTTCATTTCTTTTCCCTACTGCCATATTTTGTGTGTGTTTTCACTATAAGCACTACTACCTCATAGAAAATTTTCGGGAGAAAGCAGGGACATCAAGAGAAGCAGTTAGAATTCATAATGGTAACAAACTTTGTTCTTTCATATCTCCTGTGTGTGTCTTGCTGAATTTTGATTTGTGCAATTACAAGCTTTCTGAATATGCTCACTGAAGTTCAAACTGGGTAACACAGTTTTCATTTTTTGCACATGATTGTATCTTTTTGGAGTGAAGTGAATCTACACACACAATGTCGATTTCCCTATGTGATGCTGTGACTGTTAAGTTTATAAAGTACTTTAAAGATTACTTGGATAAAAATTGAGTCAAAATAAAATAAATGGTGATATAGTAACCAATAAATAGAAATTGGAAATACCATTATGAACATGAGTTAAATATAGTTAGTATTTTTTTTTACTTAATAATCATTGCTTTATTGCATTTTTTTCCCCAAAGTACTTTATGAACAGACTGACCTTTTCATAGCATCTCTTTAGGTGGTTGAGGCATTTAGAGAAAATTACCTTAGCTTTTGAATGAAATCACCATTTTTTACCTCACATCACCTCATTGATGCTGAGTTGGAACTGATTCATAGCTGAGCCTCAGCAGAGTTTTGGAATCTGTCAGTTGCAGAAGAGATTTCTCCGTTGGACCAGCTGGTGAATTTGAACATCAGTAGGAGATACTCCTACTTTGGGTTAGCAGTACAATTCCTACGAACTCTACCACCAGTAATTATCACTCTTAAAGGCGCCTCATGGGGCTGTAGCCGAGCGCTAAACTGCTAACTTAAAAGTCACTAGTACAAATCCACTAGTGGGAGAAGGATTTCCCAGTCTTCTCCCATATGAGTACAGGCTTGGAATCTCAATGGAGAAGTTCTACTCTGTCTGTAGATTTGTTAGGAGTTACAATAGGCTCAATAGCAGTGGAGTTTTAACCTACTCTTTTGCTATTAATTGTCTATTTAACTTGAGTTGGTTAGGTTATTCTCCCCACTGCGGGCCATTTTTCTTAGCATATTACAGATTTTGCTGCCTTTTTCGAGTTCTTTCGCTGACCTATTATACCCTCTTCTCAAGATTCCATCTTGACTCTTCCTATAAAATTACCAGTGTGCACACTCAGACTTGCCCTAAGGCTAAGAGGGTAAAGTGGTATGTGCTCTTCTAAGGCTAAGTGCGTCTGCCGGTGCTTAGCCCACCCTTCTTCCTTTCTTCTCCTTACTATTTTTCTTCCTTTACCAAACACATGTAGCTCAGCTCATTGCTGTCAAATCATAATCCTCTGGCGGGCTCTCAGGAGATTGCCAGTTGGACGAGAGGGGATTGCCCATCTTCCTTCCTGAGCTGCTGGGGCATTTGAACCACCGGAGAGATGCTGCCTTTGGGCTACCAGTGCAGTTCCTTATGGACTACCCTGCCAGACCTCCTCTTTGCAGTTCTTTTATTCTTCATAACAGTCTTAAAACGAAACACTACTGCTGTCATCCATAACAGTCATTAAAAAAAAAGTCCACTTCGTCTCCTGTTGTTCCGTAACCTGTTTGAGTCTTGTTTCTGCCTCCCACAGCAGTTGTCCTAGTTAGTGTCACCACCTCACTGCCCTTGCGTCAGTTCTGACTCATGGTAACGCTTCGATGGATTTCCAACATAAACCTTTACAGGAGACTGTCCATGTTTTTCTTGTGGAGCAACTGATAAATCTGAACTAGCAGCTTTTCAGTTAAGTAACTTGACATATGGAATTGTGTCACCTGGGCTCCTTACTGAATATAACCAGTGACATAATTGCTAGATCTAAAGGATTCCTTTAGTTTTTATTAAAATCTGCTCTGTGGTTTTTGACATTATTGATTATTATATAGAACCTCTTTATGACTTCATTTTCTTTGATTTTCCTATTTTACCACTTATTTCTTCATTCATTTCCTTGCTTGGTCCCTGGAATATTACTGTTTCCTAGGATTCTGCCTTTGGCTCTCCTCCCTATATTTTCTCAAATGCCTTATCTACTCTCTTGGTTTAAAATAATGCGGTGTGTACACGCGCGCACGCGCGTGCACATGCATATCCGTAGAGGTGTGAGTCCTAAATCTCTGTCTGGCCAAACCTCTGTTGAGACCATGTACCCACCTTCACACAGGCATTTCCATGTGGATGGAGTTGGACTCCTATGCCTAGTACTGAATTTACTTCTTCCTCAGATCTTTTTCATCCTCTGTGCTCTGCTGTGGTTAGTAGTGTCACATCTGTCAAGCCTGCATTCTTTAGTCTTTCTAGACCCTGTTTTCATCCTCACACATATCATTTATCTCATTCTGTCAGTTTTTCAGCCTAAATATCTCTTAAATTTTTTTTGTTTTTGTACTCTATATTATATACCATAATTTTCTTTTAGGCTTTGACCATTTCTCCTAAGATCCTATAATAGGTCTTAGTAAATGTTGACATCCACGGCAGTATCTGTTAGCTGAAATATGTCAATTGGTATATTATCTATTCCGGGGGCCTTATTTTTTGCTATTTCCTTCAGAGCAGCTTGAACTTCTGCCTCCATGACCATAGGCTCTGGCTCAAATGCTATTTGATTAAATTCTTCTGTATCTGCCAATTCCTTTTGGTACAATGACTCAGTATATTCCTTCCATCTTCTTTTGATACCTCCTGGATCATTTAACATTCTGCCTAAAGCATCCTTG